TAGTTAATCCGTTGGATATAACTTGAGATATCAAGCGGACACCCTTTCAGCAATTGAACAAAGGGGTATAACTCCATAAATTACTGTCAGGTAATGGTGGTTATCAGAATTGTCCAAGCTTTCATGGTAATTAACCTTCCAATGAAGTTTGAAGTTAATCTGTTGATAATTACTCAAATATTGAGCGGATTAAAGGGGCGTAACTCTGTAAATATTAGGTGGATAATGGTGGTTATCAAAATTTTAAGAGGTTTCGTGGTGATTTACCTTCTTTTGGACGTGAGAATAAAAACTGAAACTTTTCAACAGGATTTCAATATATACTTATAAATAGATAACATGAATTGCAATAATTTCATTAAATAAGAAAAAGCAAAGCAATTAAATACAAATTGACACATTTAATTAGATCATTCAACAATATAATACATTCTTTTCATGAAATGAAACTGATGTACAGCAAGTTAAATAACATGCTTGTAACTAACGAATCCACCTCTCTTTTCATTGCTCACCAAAGAATTCTTATCATTTGACAAGTTATGAGAAATTTTGTATCTAGGAAACATTGTAGAACCCTACTACAGATAATGTTATTAGTAAATATATAGTTGTTAACCTTTACCTAGATATTTACTGAACTTGTTTATCAACCTTGTTGACAGTATTTTATAATTATTTTATACAGAACAATATCACAAACATTTGTTACATAGCACTATTGTAAGTTTTCCTTGTAGGAGCACTTATATGTTGTCAGAAAATGTGTCTCAAGAAAGTAATGGTGATGGGTGATGTCACATCCAGAAGAGGTTTGTTCCATTAGTTTCTCTGAAGAGAAGTACTTCAAAATTGTGAAAAATTGTTCAGATGTAAAGAAGTGATGTTGTGTTAATCTTTCTCTGCTATGGCTACAAGGTGTGCATCTTTTTCATCCTCTGTCAAAGCCCTGAAAAATTATAATGTAATTTTTTTGATATACCATACACAATAAAGAACAATCTGTAATATCTTAATAATAGTGGCCTACTGTATTTATCATCCTGTGTCAAAACTCTGAACAATTATATCATTATTTAAAATTAAATATAACATTAAAAATTAAGAAACATCCATGACATTTTGATAATACCAGCCTGCTTCAACCTAATTGTGAGCACATATTGCTAATTGAAAAATATAACAGAGTTATCGAAGACAAAATTTGCATTTAAAATTGTCATGCTATTTCAGTTCAAAGGTATTGGCAAATTCTCTCACAGTAACTACAGGTTTCCTTACTCCCAACTCATTGGCTTATTCTGCAAGGAGTTGGTAAATAGTTTTGATTACCCACTAGTGGGCGTTATTTCATTGGTCAATTTACTAATTATGACGTCAAGGAACAATGCTTTACGATATCATCTTCATTTTGCTGTCATAGTTCATGGCAATTGTTTCGTCAATCAGAAACAGAAATAATGTATTCCCTAGAGAAACATTTGGTTAATAGAACAGCTGAACATTGTTGGGAGAAAAAAAGGTCCCCTAACTCATAATGGTTGATTATCATGTTTTATGATGTTATGTTACCTCATGTTTGTTACTTTTCAAATTGTACAAAGACACTTGTTAAACGTGTCTTTGTACAATTTGAAAAATAACAAACTAGAGTAAGAGAAACATGATAACCAACCATTATATCATTATAATACTTTTTTTCATAAAACAGTTTTCCCTTACTTTCTCTTCCTTTCAAATTTGGAATAAAATCCCTCACAGTTAAACATGTCTGGGACCATGTACAAAATGTACAACCATTGTCTCTACTAACAATATGTGAACTTTGTGATATAATGAATTTACTTTAGTCATATCAGAGTAAGTACCTGAATTTAGGATGTTCTGTTGTTACAACTCCAACTTCAATTTCTGAGGACTTGAAGTCCGCTGATAACACAGTTGATAGGCATGTTATTGCAATCTGCAAATAAAAGAACAATCAACTCTGTATAAATGTTTTCTCATTTCATTCTACCTTTTTTGCTTCTGCTTACTTCTACTATCTCACTAAATATTAACTCTTACAAACTTGGCCTAATTCTACTCTCTTACAAATAGAAACTTGAGCATATTTGGCTTACTGCTTCTCTCATACTAAATATAAACTCAAGCAGACTTGGCAGATTTCTACTTTATAGCTTAATATAAACTCATGGAGATTTGGCTTACTCCTACTGTCTCACTAAATTAACCTCAATCTGACTTTGCCTACTTCTTCTCTCTTACCATATTTCTAATTTCTCCTGTAACTACTATATATTTCCTCACTCCAAACTAATAAGATAAACTCCTAGGAGACAGTAAACATTTTTGATTGGGT